ATGCATGAAATATGTAATATAAGCCTGAAAATAAGCTTAGTGTAGCTTAACAAGAAAATGTCGAAAAATGTCAAAACTACTGCAAAACCAGTAGAGCCTCTGAGTTTCTCCAGATTCTTAAATGTCTCCAGAGCTCCCCCAAAATTGCCCACCCGTGGCTTAGTACATCATGAAAACCAGTTCAGTAGGGGTAGTTACAAAGTCTTAGATTTTGGTTTTAAAATACTACCAGAGAACAGCATAGGGTTCTGTGTTGGTGTGTGCGTGCTTCTGCTTTGGGTGAATATGTCAATGCCTTTCAGGAAAATTGATAAATACAAGTTAATCAGGCTAGTAATCTGCCAAAAAGCACCGCTAAATCAAGTTACTTACATTCATGCCTGTAGGGACTTTTGGCGTAAGCAACTTTATGCAGAGTGCTGAAAAGAGTCGGAAATAGTAAGGCGAAGGAATTAAAGGCTTGAGATAAGAAAAAGAAAAGGAAATATTGCTAAATCTAGTTTATACCGACACCATTCCTAATAGTTCTCTATGCTTTTCAGTCCTTCCAAAAACCAATTTTGCTTCTAATGTATCTGCATCGCTACATACGGTACATTGTCTTTTGTTCTTTAAAATTATCGCCTCTTTTGGAGGATCTCATCAACGTCATCCAGCCACGTTTTCTCAGTCTTTCCCTTCCTTCCAACCCAGTCATTCTTCTCTTATGATTCTCAATCCACATTCCCTCTGTCTTTATGACCAAACTGCCACAAAGTTCCTCATTCCTACCAGTCACTCATTTTATTTATTAAATTTATATTGGAGGGGAGATGTATGAATTTTTGTATTCAGTCCACATTCATTTGGGACCCTGTCTCTTCTTCTGTCACTGCATACGCTTCTTCAGTACCCTATTTTTACTTTTATGTTTCTCTTGATACACCCAACACTCATATCCAGAGAACAAAGTGAGCAGGAACATGCTCTTCTACACACTTTTACACTTTTGACCTTCATTCCTCCTCACATACTACTTACTACTTTTCTTACCAGCATTTGCATGTTTTAAGATTTCCCCATCCATTGTCTTGTTTTTGCTATTATACAAATGTACTTAAGTTTTCTGTTTGTCCTAGTTTTTCACCATTAGTAATTTGCAGTTGCTCACTCCATTTGTCTTCTCAAATGCAGTGATCTTGATCTTTGATGCATTAACTTTCTGAACTGGACCCCTCATTCCTTCCTATAGCTTATCTAACTTTTACTGCAAATTATTTGGGTTCCCCGCCAGAAACTTGTTATCATCTGCATACAAAAATATGTGTAAGTTCACACCTCTACCATCACCACCTAGCATTCCTGATTCAACAGAAGAGAATATCTTTAGCTCAGGGCTGAACTTCTTGGAGCTCAGAGAGAACTCCACAATTCTTTATTCATTTATCCATAATTACACTAAATGGCCAAGGAGACCCCTCATATCCTTGTCTTGCTCCCTGTTCAGTGTTGAACCATTTGCTAAGCAGTGTATTTATTCTCACTCAGGCTTTACTTTTGTTAACTTTTCTTTAAGTAAGTGTGTAACATTCACGCAGTTACCGCGGGCCTCCCACGAGTGAGGGGAAAGAAGACACCAAACTGATTCTCCTTTGAGGGGGG